CCTGTCAACAGCCACATCCTGTGCTGCTGCTGGGTTCCGCTATGGTTAAGGGTGCTCATCGTGACACAGCACCGCAGGGTATTTCACCGCCCAAGGGGGTCACACATCTTAAAAGACAGAACTAACCCCTCACCCCAAGAGGCCCAGAGCCTGTCCTGTCTCCTGGAGCCTCATCAAGGTGGGAGGGTGAGAGGTGAGGCCACAGAAGGGAAACAAGCCTGACCTGCAGATGCCTGCATGGTGTGCATCAAACTGAAGACTTAAGGGAAAGGTACAAGAAAATTTGAAGCACAGGCCCAACAAAAATGCCGCTGCCCCATTTACTATGCACTCTGCATGGCTGGGGACAGGAGGGGCCTCTGAGAGACTCGGAATGGAGGGCTTTAAATGCAGTCATGGCCTCCCTCCCCAGGCCTCGTACGCTGCATTTCCAGCCAGCCAATACAGGGGTCTCACGCCCATCAGAGGCAGGGAGCCCCTGCTCCTAGCATAAGTGTATTGTTTGAACGGTTCTTCTTTTAAAAATGAAAATGAAAGGTCAGAGGAAATAACTCTGGTATGGAAGGTAGAGGGAGGATGAGCCTTGCCCATGGCCCCCTCCTTGCAGTGACCTTCCCCTACCTGGGAGGCAAGGAGCTCAACCCCCAGTAATCCAAGAGCCCAACCAGGCTCAGAGGAGAAGGCAGAGAAGCCAAGTGGGCCTGGTCTGCTAGGAACCCAAACCCCACCCAGCCCCTCTCCACCAAGTCTGACTCTGCTCCACCACCTCCAGCCTCAATTCCTGGACCTGGTCCTTGCCTTGCTCAGACTCATTTTCCCAGCCTGCAAAATAGGGTGTGACCTGGCCCCCGGGGTGACAGGAGTGGGACCACCTGGTGGAGACCTTAAACCGATGCCTGGGAGCTCATGAACGCTGCCTAGGAGGAGGCTCAATACCTCATCCTACACCCCACCCCAAGTCCACAGCACCCAGGATACCTGCACCTGCCACCCCTACCCGCCACCCACCAGACTCCAACAGGATGGCCTGCATCCCTTCTCTGGGCCTGGAAGGCCAGCAAACACTTTGGGCTGGGCCCATTTTCCAGATGAGGAAACTGAGGCCCACAGACTTTTGAAGGCCCCAGGTGTACACTGGCAGGGCCCCCACCAGACCTTTCTACAGGACTTGTGACACATAGCCTAGATGGGGCAGGAAGGTGGCACAGCATCAAGGGACTACAAGGGCTTCAGTCTACCCATCTTCTAAGGATATTCCATGAAACCACCAGCTGGCTCCAGAGACCACATCCCCTAACCACTGCAAACCCAGCCTCTGCTCACACTCCTCACTGCACCCTCCACAGCCTGGAGACCCCTGCACCCCCTAGCTGGGCCCCCAACAGTCCCTCCCCACACTTGGTGTCTAAGAGGCAAATCCCACCTCCTCCATCCCCTGCTGAAAACCCTCACAGACACCCAGTTACGCCAGTATACCCTTCCTAGGACTGGTCCCCGAAGGGGACCACCCCCAGCTATCCTTTCCTTCCAGCCCTGCTGCCGGGCCCCGTCCACTTGCGGCCCCCCTCAGACACTGGATGCTACACTTCCCCAGCCTTCCTTTGGCTGGACCCCTGCACCCCTCAACATTTGGTGCATTTTTTTCTCTGTACCCTGCATGACACTATCGTTTTTACTATGTACAAATAAATCTCAGAGGAGAGGAAAAACAACAGAAAAAACAAAGGGAATGGATTTGATGCAAGCAAGATACAAACCAAAAGCAAACCCTATAGGCTCACTGGACAGTAGAGAGGCAGACCTGCCCATCAGGTATTCGCCCGACACTCCCAGCTCACTCCCCAGCCCCAGGCAATGCTCTCTCCCACCCCTAACACACAGGGGGTGCATGGCCTGACCTAGACAGCCTGTCCTCCCAGCCCATGCCTCCCACAGCCTGCCTGGCCAGTGGGGGTGAGAAAAATCCTTGCTTGTTAATCTTTTATCTGGAATCTTGGACCACAGGACCATCCCTCCCATCCTCCTTTCTGGAGCCGACATGGCCCCCAAACCCTGACCTCACCCGCTGAGACCAGGTAAATAAGTTACCTTTTATGCTGGCTGTGACTGTGGACAATAGGTACAGTGGGGAGATGGGGGGAAGCAGGCCACTGGACCAGCCCACTATGGGCCTGGGTCCCTGTGGGACTAGAAAGTCGCTTCTGAGTCTCAGTTCTGAGTCTCAGTTTCCCCAAGTGGAAAGAGGAACCCTCAGGAGGAATTTCTCAAAGAGAAATTAAAGAGTGACATGTACAGAGGTACTCTATGGAGAGTGGGACCCCCCAAGATCCCAGCAGTGGGGACAGCCACATGCAGAAGGCCCATGCCCAGGTCATGTGTCCTGAGGCAGGTGCAGGGTTCAGAGCTACTGCAAGCCTGGCCCTTGGCTATGGTCCAGACCTGGGTCTCCCAGGCACTTCCCTGACAGCAGGTCAGCTCACACACCCAGAATATATATTCTCCTCCACAACATAACCAGGTAAATTCCAAACCAGGAAGAGCGCACTTCCCCATCCCCCCAAATCTCTCAGGGGAGAACATCGAGGCTCCAGGGAGCCTCGTTCATCCAGCAGCTCTGCCTGTACCATGGTGGGAGGCCAGAGCTGGGCCTTAGGGGCACATAAGCCACATTTAGATTCCCACCTACACCCTCTGGGCTTTGGTCTCCTCCATGAAATGGGCCCAGGGCTGGCCCAGTGGCTGGGCGGCAGGAGTGAAGTGAAGAGGATGTCCACAGAGCACGTCCTCACCCACCCAGCAGTCCTCCTGCTGCCCCCTTTCAGGGGCATGGGGGAGGGTCACCTCTGGCCACTGGTCTTCCTCTGGCAGGGCCGTGTTCCTGGACAATCCCTCCATCAGGGAGTGCTGGAGCTGCCCTGGGAACAGGGCCAGAGACAGGCCAGGGGCCTAAGGGCAGTGGGAGGGTGGCCTCCCAGTCAGCCATTCAGAGCAAGGCCATAAAGATTTAAGGCCTTGCTCTGAGCCAGGCTTCCCCCACCTGCCTCTCCCCGGTCATCATGCATGGGAGATGAGGGGAGAATCCTAGGACTCTGTGTCTGACTGGACTCTCATACCTCCTCTAGGAAAAGTAGAATAATGTGCCCATTTTACAGATTGCAGGAAAAACACCCATCCCATTGCTGTGTTTTACACAGTGCCAAACTGTCTCTAAAGACCCCCACACCCATCACTTCACTGCCCCACAAGGAGAGGTGGGTGCACATTTCAGAGCCCAAGAGACTGGGGCCATGGGGCAGAGGAGTGGATGAGTCAGGACAACAGCATTACCTTGGAGCAGAACCATGCACGGGTGGGTGCACTGGACCCTCCCTGGCTCCCCCTGGCCTGTCCACAAGCCTGGGGCAGGTATACAGGACCCACCACTTAGCACATGGAGAAACTGAGGCACAGAGATAAAGAGACACACCACAGGTCATTGTGTGTGTGGGGGTCCAACCCTAAATTCCTGGGAAGGACTCAAAGGCTGGGACCCACAGGGCTCACATCTGGGAGGAGGCTGAAGAGCAGCTGGTCAGAAGCAGGACTGGGGCCAGGCCTGGCAGGCCAGAGGGCAGGAACTGGATTCTGAGACCCTCTTTCCCCCAGGAGACTCCTCTGAAAACAGCCTTTTGTATGTAGTCAGGACCTCCCCTTCCCTGTCCTTGGCTGACCTTGGGCAGATCCCTCCACCTCACAGTGGACACTCACCTCCCCCAAGCAGTGCTGCACAACTTGCACACACATTGTCCTCTTCACACACGGGGCAAAACACCAAATTCAGGATTGGGCATCAGGCTGCCCGAGGGAGTCAAAGAAGATAAACCGACCCCACCACACCAGGGGCAGTATCAGGTCTTAGCTTCCACACCACCAAGCCACATGCCTCTGCTTTGTGACTTACTTCCCTGGGCCTGTTTCCCCATCTGAGAGGAAGCCAGCATTCCCCCCAAGGTGGCAGGTGTCACTGTTTTCAGCATGACTGACTGCATCCCGGGTGTGTGTGTGTGTGTGTGTGTGTGTGTGTGTGTGTGTGTGTGTGTGTGTGTGTGTGTGTGTGTGTGTGTGTGTGTGTGTGTGACCTGTGCCAGCCTGCTCTTTCAGGCCCAGCTTCCACTTGTGCAATTCAGCGCCTGGCCTGGGGCACAGGTGTGCAAAGACCCTGAGGTTTAAGGGGGAGCGGGCAGTGTGCCCTAAAGTGAGCCTCCAGGAACATCTGCGGCTCAAGGTCTGGCTTTATCTTTGTTTCTAAAAGGGTTAGATTTTAGACGCATTCATGGAGCAAGGCCGACATTCGAATCCGGGGCTTCAGCTGCAATCCCCCTATCCGAACAAGGCAGGAAGGTGAACCCCCTACAAAACAATCTCGAAATCAAACACTGAAGATAACAGCCAGCCCACCCCTTCTTCCGGAGACCCCGGAGCCTCACCGCAGGCTCGGCTGCAGCGGGACCTTGAGCAGTTCATCCCCTCTCCCAGGTTCAGTTTCCCCGCCTGTGAAGTGGGGCTGGGGAGCTAGCTGAGGATCCAGAACACCTCCCTAGGTGAGGCCAGTTTCGATTTCCCCACGTCTGTCACACCGACAGCCCCCGCAGTGAGGCGGCCCCCACTGGGAAAAGGCGCGCACCTGGGTTGGCGGGCAGCTGGACGCCGCCGCCTGGTTTCTGGCCGCTTGCCGCTGGGCTTCGGCTCCGCTGTGGCGCCTGCTGGGCGGACGGAGAGCGTCGGGGAGGTTTGTCCTCCGACTTTGCGCCTCACCGCGGCAGTGCCGCACCCACCACCCCCGCGCAGGGCTGTGCACCCCGCGCCTCAGCTTCCCCGTCTGAGAAATGGGCGCAGAGCCCCGCTCGAGGTCTGCGGCCTCGGCCCTCACCTGTGCAGTTTCCCGGGGCGGGCGTGGCGTCCCCCATGCGCCCCCCAGGCCTCGCCCTGCGGCTGAGGGTCGTAGCCTCCTCGTGCATCCCTGCGCGCTCCGCGGCGTTCGGCCAGACTGCAGCGCAGGGGCCAGCGGGGGCGGGGCCGCCCGGTCACGCCCATCCAGGGTTGAGGGCGGGGCCGACCCCGCAGGAACCCAAATCCCCGAAGGGCGAAGCCAGCAGAGCGGGAAGTCTCGCTCCAGGGCTTTGCGTAGGTGTTGACCTCTGCCCCTGCGCCTCCGACCACCAGGGCCCCCCACAGACCAGGTGTTCTCGGTGAGTAGCACATGTGAACCCCATCTGCGTCACTGTGGGTCAGGCCCTCTGTGGTGGGTGTCGATATTGTAGGTCCTCAGTGAGGGACCCCCGAGTCGTGGGGGGCAGGATTCAGACCTCCAGGGTCTGGCCCTGGCCTCACACACCCCGGGGGCCTGCCCTCTCCTTGCTCCTCCTACCCAGCTCCCTCTGAAGGGGCCCCTGGCTAGGCTCAGGGCTGCGGCCCGCCCCTTCCTCTCCCTAGGACCCCGCCCAGCCCAGGCGCAGCACCCCGCCCAGGCCCAGGCAACCACTGAGGGAGCTCTAAGACAACAGACTCAATAGACGCGCCCCCCCACCTCCCCGGCCAGAGCATCTCAGGGCAGCTCCTGATCAGGTGACCAGCCCTGTAGAGCTGAGGGCACGTAAGTGGAGGATTCCTTGGTCTATCTTCATTTGCAATCCTCCTCTAATAATGGATCCTTATGTCTATCTTGGTCTACACTATCTATTCTAATGGTGGATCCCTGGATCTATCTTGATCTCCACTACCTAGTATAAAGGAGACTCCCTGGGTCTGTCTTGGTCTGCACTTCTAGATTAATGGTGGATCACTGAGTTTATCCACCATTAGACTAGGTAGTGGTGACCAAGATAGACATATGGCTCCATCATTAGACTAGGAGTACAGACCAAGATAAATCCAGGGATCCATCCTTAGAATAGGTAGTGGAGAACAAGAGAGACACATGAATCGAACATTTGAGTACAGACCAAGATAGATACAGGGATCCTCCATTAGACTAGGTAGTGGAGACCATGATAGATCCGGGGGTGCACCATTAGCATAGGTAGACCCAGGGATCCTCCATTACTAAGTAGTGGAGACCAATATAGACACAAGGATCCACTATTAGATTAGGAGTGCAGGCTAAGATAGATCCAGGAATGCATTATTCGACTAGGAATGGAGACCAAGGTAGACACTGGGACCCTCCATTAGACTAGGTAGTGGAGACCAAGATAGATCCAGGGATCCAACAATGGGCTAAATAGTGGAGACCAACCTAGGCACGAGGATCCACTATTAAACTATGAGTGCGAACCAAGATAGACCCAGGGATCAAACATTAGACTAGGAGTGAATACCAAGATAAATCCAGGGATCCACCATTAGGCAGTTAGTGACAGAGAGAACAACTGATGCAAGGCCTTGAGATCTTAATTCTTTGGAAACTTGAGGTATAGCCAGAAGTCCAGTGTGGTCACCCTGCAAGTCTGTGAGGTGGCCCAGCTGGACAGGCCTGGCTCTGGAGTGCCTGGCAGGTGGAATCGAAGAGGTGGGTGTCTTGTGGGACAATAGAGCAGGGTTCCAGCAGGCCAGCCCCTCCCCACCTTTGCTTTTGTAGCCTGATAGAAGCTGATGTTCAGTGCGATACATAAGAGCCCTGCCCTTTCCTGGGTCAGAGTTGTTTCACCCCGTAATATCTAATTCCCACGTCAGACTTGGGGGTCACACATAATGACTTACTTCATTTCCCTTGATGTGAACCAAGCATGTATGTCCCATCTGCCACATCAGGAAGCCAGGTGAATCCACAGGGCCCATTGTGATCTGCCCCCTTCAGACCACACTCAGGGACATGGGACCCCAGAATTCCCTACCACATGGCCCCATGCCCACCTCTGGGGTCTTGTGACCTTCTCATTGGCTCTGGTCTTTTGTGCACACCACTGTACCCAGGACAGCTGCCTGTAGGTGTATGAGCAGGGCTGGGAGGGGAGGTCTGGTGTGGCCCTTGAAACTACAGGATAGAGCTGGTGGAAGCTGCCTGTAGGCTGCCTACAACACCACATGCTGGCCCAGGCCTGGTATGTGTATGCATCCTGGGGCTGCTGTAATGAGGTACCACAGACTGGTACTTTAGGACTACAAAAATGTGTAATCTCAGGGTTCTGGAGGTCAGAAGTCTGAGATCAAGGTGCTTTCTAATGCCTGAAGGCATTAGAAAGGGTCTTCTCCACGCCTCTCCCCAGCTTCTGATAGTTTCTTGGCTTGTGGCAGCATCATTTCAATTTTCATACAGCTGTTTTGTCCCTTTGTGCATATCTGTCTCTGTGTCCAAATTTCCCCTTTTTTATAGGAATGCCAGTCCTATTGGAATAGGGCCACCCTAATGACCTCACTTTAACTTGATTGCCTCTATAAAGACCCTATTTCAAAATGAGGTCATGTTCTGAGCTACTGGGGGTTAGGACTTAATCACTTGAATTTTGGGAGGACACATTTCAGCCCATAACAGCCTATAACATAACAAGAATGAGACAACATGTTTTCTTGGCCATCTGTGGCATGGTTGCATGTTCTGGGTATTCAAGCATGTGGCGCTGGCCTCCGTTTGTACCGTTAGGGAACTGGTGGTGGCCTGAGACTTCTGTCATATGCCACAGGAAACTATACACCTCGTTATACCTCAGAACACCCACTTGTGTCAAAGACATCTTCAGAAGCAGTGGAAGGCACTGGGTTTGGTTCTGGAGGTGGAAACTCAGTCAGTATGAACCTTGATCTGGATCACCCCATCTACCTTTTCTGGGGCTTCTTGGAACAGCGTGCTCCTGGAGAGCACCAGCAACACCTACCATGAGTAGGGAGGGAAACTGAGGCTGGGGAGGCGAAGGCACTAGTCTACCACAGACTCAGACTGCTTGGGCCACCACCTCGCCCCCCATGCATGTCAGGGATCGCGATTCTGACAGGCATCCTGTGCCTGAGCGTTAGTATTCTCATCTGAGGGATAGAAAAGATCCTGCCACCCTCCCAAGGTGAGGGAGACTGTGACATGGTCAAGGATGGAGCATCTCCTGAAAGCTGGGTTACACAGGCCCTACCAGTGTTTGGACTTGCTGCCATCCCTATCTGCCCCCCAGCTCTCCAAGTCCTGGCCCAGACTGGGAGCAGTGCCTGTGCTATGCCAGGCTGGTGTCTCCTGGCCCTCAGGCCTTGGCCACCTACTCAAGGAAGCCCTCCCTAATGCCCTTCCTGGACAAAGCCATGACCTCAGGCCTGTGAAGCAGATAGGACATATGGCTCCCTGGTGGAGGCAATGGCAAAGAAGCAAGAAGAACCCAGCAGAGACACTTGAGGAACTGACCGAAGCCTTCGCCTCTCTGCATTTGGGGGTCCAGCCCCTACCCCGTTACCTCTTCCCCATCTGCGTTGGTATCTGGGAGCACACAGTATGCCCAAACAAACATTTGTTGAATAAATGAACTGGTAGGAAGGAACCAGGGAGGTTTGTGAAGGGGGAGGGGTTTGGAAGCTCTGGGTCTTGGTGTTCTGCTCTATAAAATGGGCTTACACACATGCTACCAGAGACTTTGAGGGGATGATGAAGATCTGGCTTGGGGGTCTCCTCTTCCCTCAAGGCTTAGCCTGTCCCAGAGAGCCTTCCTCAACTTGATTGTCCTGACACAGTGTCCACAGGCCATGGTGGCAGGGTGGCGGGGAGGCGTTGGTCATTGGTGTGTTTCCCTCAAATTGGATAATCACTTTAGAAATGTAAAATGCTTTTTGTTTTTCTTTAAATGTTCTTCATTTTTTCCACCACTCAATATAAAAATAAGATTTTTATCCTAAAAACCTCTAATAAAGGACCAAGTCCAGAAAATTCCATCCCAAAACAAGAGTCAGGGAAGCAGGGTGGTCTCATGGGCTTTGCCTCTTTTTTTAAAAGAATTATGTTTTTAAATTAAGAGCGATTATTTTAAAAAGTAATCTAAACTTGTAGCTCCAATGAGCTGGGTATTTGGGGAGGGAATTTTCCCAAAAATATTTTCTGCCAGGCTGTTTGGCATCCTCCACACACACTAGTCCTCTGGCTGCTCCACAGGAAAGCAAGAGCTGGTCCTCTTCTATAGGGAAACCCTGGCTGGAAACCCACTCCCCACCAGGGCCCAGGCTCTGACCACTGGGATGTCCTCCCTGGCCCTAGGTCTGTACAAGTGAGGCTTTCCTTGGCTTTCAGGAGGGAGACAGGTGAATCACCCCAGGTGACATCAAGCCACCACCCACAGATTCACAGTGATGGCTTGGAGACATGTAGCAAGGAAGCTGGAAGGAGGCAGGCCTATGGGCTATATGCTTTCCTAGGTGGGCAAAAGCAGGTGATGGATTCACAGAACAGATAGGACCAGGCCCTCCTGAATGCCAGGCCTGCTCAGCAGCCAGGACACAGGGGCACAGGAGGGACAAAGGCTGATGGGCTGCTTCCAGGGCTCCTCCTCCACCTCTGGGCAGCCAGACTATGGGTCAGTTTTTCCTGCCTCTTGACTCTTCTCTGAGTTGTCTGAATTGTTTACAATAAGCATGAATCTATTCTCTCATCAGAAAGCAGAAAACTCATAAAGATTTTAAGGGTGGGATACATGTAAATGATAACACATATTTACAGGACAGTTCTGAATTCTACCTGTCAGAAAAGATATTGACTGGCCCCTCATTAGAAGATGGGGAAGCTGAGGCTCAGAGAAGTGGAACTGTCCCATCTAAGGCCATTTGCCAGCTAGGATGATGCCTCATGACTGTGGTCTGAGGGCTCACTCATAATGATAGGGTTTGGCTGTGCCCCCGCCCCTGCCGGGTGGGGGCAGGGGTATGTTTTCACAGCCAGAAGTTTTCCTAGGTAAGCCTTGGGTAAGAACTACATAGGTGGGTCCAGGGCAATCCAGAAGCTTAGTGGTTATGAGCCAGTTAAGCTTCTTTGATGCCATGCACCTGTGCAGCCAGC